GTCAAAGCTTTGGTTTTGGTGTTATGGATTTGGCAGAGGTTAAGAGAAGCTGAGAGAGAACGGATAAGCAACAAGGAAGAGCTTGAGAGAAAGGCTAATTTACAATTAGAAAGACAGCTTGTCATGGCTTCAGATTGGAGTAGGACATTGTTAACGATGCGTGGGAAGTTAAAAGGAACAGAATGGGATCCTGAGACCTCTCACAGGATCAACTTTAGCGATTTCATGAAGCTCTTGGATTCCAACAGTGTTCAGTACATGGAGTACTCAAATTACGGACAGACAATATCAGGTACAGAAGTCACTATTTCACATTTTTTCTTAAAATCTTTTTTACTTATTGTTGATGTTGTTGCAGTGATATTGCCTTATTATAAAGATGGAGAGCCTCTAGGAGAAGAGGAAGACACTAAGAAGGAGATAATCTTCCGTCGTCACATTGTGGATCGAATGCCAATTGATGGTTGGAATGATGTTTGGACCAAGTTGCATCAGCAGATAGTCAATGTAGAGGTTTTCAATGTAGATGTGGTTCCAGCTGAAGTCTACACTACAGTTGCCACTTTTGTGGTTTGGTCTATGAGACTTGCTCTTTTTGTTTCTCTCTACGTTTGGATCGACAATATAACAAGACCAATCTATGCTAAGTTGATCCCTTGTGATCTTGGAACCCCTACCAAGAAGATTAGAACTCCCCTCAAGCGCCAAGCACTTGGATCCTTAGGCAAGAGCAGGGCAAAGTTCATATCAGCAGAGGAGAGAACTGGTGTGACGTTTGATGATTTTGCTGGCCAGGAGTATATAAAGAGGGAGTTACAAGAGATTGTGAGGATTCTGAAGAACGATGAGGAGTTTCAGAACAAAGGCATTTATTGTCCCAAAGGTGTTCTTCTTCATGGACCTCCAGGGACAGGGAAAACTCTGTTGGCTAAAGCTATTGCTGGAGAAGCTGGTTTACCTTTCTTTGCAGCTAATGGAACCGACTTTGTTGAAGTAAGTGATTTGATTCTGTCGACTATATACAAATATTTGAAAAGGTCTTGAGAGTTAACGGAGTTTTTTTTTTGTCTTGAAATGTGTCAGATGTTTGTAGGAGTGGCTGCATCTCGTGTAAAAGATCTTTTTGCTAGCTCTAGATCCTTTGCACCATCTATAATCTTTATTGATGAGATTGATGCAATTGGAAGTAAACGAGGTGGACCAGATATTGGCGGGGTAAGAAACTACTGGAAGTTAGATATTAGTTAGAAGAATAAACTCTTTTTTAAAAGTGTTCCTAATTGAATAGGGAGGAGCAGAGAGAGAGCAAGGTTTGCTTCAGATATTAACTGAGATGGATGGATTTAAAGTTACTACATCACAAGTAATGTTTTCTATTTGCTATGTTAAGTTTCTTTTCAGATATTAACATTTTCTAGCTATTAATCATAGACATTTGCTTACAGGTATTAGTGATAGGTGCAACAAATAGATTAGATATTCTTGATCCTGCTCTCTTGAGAAAAGGGCGTTTTGATAAAATCATAAGAGTTGGTTTACCTTCAAAAGATGGTAGATTGGCGATATTAAAGGTACTTGGTTTTTTACTTTCTTGAAATCAAAACGGTTTTGGTTTTGCTTTGTATTTTTAGCTAAAGATTCTCTTTGTAATGAAAGGTTCATGCTAGAAACAAGTTTTTCCGATCCGAAGATGAGAAGGAGGAGTTGCTGCAAGAAGTAGCTGAGAACACAGAAGATTTTACTGGAGCAGAACTTCAAAACGTTCTGTAATAAAGAAACGCACACCTTCAACTATGTCTTTGTAGAATTGCAGAGAGGAAAAAAAGAAGAAAAACACTGATGTTTGGTTGGTTGTTTACAGAAATGAAGCTGGAATCTTGACTGCAAGAAAAGACTTAGACTATATTGGAAGAGAAGAACTCCTGGAGGCGCTTAAGAGGGTAAACTACTACTTAATTTTCCGGTTTATCCTCTGTTTTTAGCAAATTCTGATTCCACCTGATTACAGCAAAAAGGTACATTTGAGACGGGACAAGAAGATAGCACAGAAGTTCCAGAAGAGTTGAAGTTGAGATTGGCTTACAGAGAAGCATCTGTTGCTGTTCTTGCTTGTTATCTTCCAGATCAGTACCGTCCAATCAGTGAGGTAAATTGAATTGATTCATGTACTGTTTTGGATTATAACATGATCTAAGACCAAGTTGTACCATGTGATTCTCTCTGCAGACTGACATAAACTCGATTAGAAGCCAACCAAACATGCGTTACACAGAAACTTCAGGAAGAGTTTTTGCGAGAAAGTCAGATTATGTGAACTCAATAATCCGTGCATGTGCTCGTAAGTTATAAAAGCCCTGAGTTTCTACTGTTATAGATGATCAAAAACATCTCTGTTGCTTAACTTCATTACATTGATTGTATGTAGCCAGAGTAGTTGAAGAAGAGATGTTTGGAATAGAAAACTTGTCTTGGATCTCTGCTAAGTCCACTTTAGAAGCATCACAACGTGCGGAGTTTCTAATTCTTCAAACAGGAATGACTGCTTTTGGAAAAGCTTATTACCGAAACCAAAGAGACCTTGTTCCCAATGTAAGTTTCTATTTTTTACATTCTACTCTTCTTTGCTTCTTTTTTGTTTGTAAAGAGCTCTTAGTGATTCTCCTACTACGTATGTAGCTTATTCCAAAACTTGAGGCATTACGAGATGAATATATGCGGTTTGGTGTTGAGAAATGCTCATCAATCTTACAAGAATATCAATCAGCTCTTGAAGAAATCACAGGTTTAATTTTACAATACCAAATCTTCTCTGTTGCTTCATCATACACAACTGAACACAATCGTAATAGAGTGTAATACTATTTTTTCAGATGTGCTGCTTGAGAAGGGAGAAATCAAAGCTGATGAAATTTTGAATATTTACAACACAGCTCCAAGGATTCCTCAAGTTAGTAATCTCTCCCCCTCTGCTTTGGTGGTTTTTTCAGTATATTTTTTTTGTAAATATCTTTTTGATTCATGAAAACAGAAACCTGTGAGACCTGTGGATGAATATGGAGCTCTGATCTATACGGGGAGATGGGGGATTCACGGTGTATCCCTTCCAGGGAGAGTAACATTCTCTCCAGGAAACGTTGGTTTCGCAACATTTGGTGCTCCTCGTCCTATGGAGGTACATATCAAAAGTGACATTAGCAACTTACAATGTTCTTACCCCTTATATATGTATCTTCTTGTGTTGTGTTGTTTTATGCAGACGCAAATCATCAGTGATGACACATGGAAACTAGTAGATGATATTTGGGATAAAAAGGTTAAAGAGATCAAAACAGAAGCTGTCATTCAAGTTGAAGAAGAAAAGAAGAAACCTCAAATCTTGATGGCAACCCATTTCTTTTAATTAATAGAAAAATCATTTGGTGGTTTGTTCTTATCTTATTATGTACAATAGATAATACCTGCTCCTTGCGTAGGATAAATTTATATAAAAACTATATTAAAAAATTATATGGAAAAATAAATCTATATTTTTGATTGAATTAATATTTTGGTTTTTAATTTTTTCTTCAATTATTTTTGTTAGTTATATAATTTGTTTACTGATAAATTGATCTCATTTTCAAAAATGTTTTATGTCATAATATCATTTAGCACAAAGAACCTAACGTTTATGTCAGAAAATTCGGGTCTATTTGGTTACAATAAAATTATGTCAGTTCGATTTTATATTACAATTTAACAATTTAAAAATTAATCCTCTATATATTATTTGCGAAGTGATTTTGCCACATGTCCTATCTACAATCAGTTTCACAAAAAATGGTGACATATCTATTAAAAATGATGACATGGCATATGATTAAATATGACATGGACAATTGCATTTAATGTTAATATATATTTTTGGAAAACTTTATAAAATATGATACAACTCATATATTAGATTTGATGTCGATTCATATTTTTGGAAATATTTTTAAAATATGTTAATAACTCATAAATCATCATTAAAATAAATATATTCAAATATGGCATTATAAATTTCGAAAATATCATTTAGTTATATATTTTAAAATTATACAATTTTATTACAAACTTTTCAAAAATGTATACCTTTTTTGAATTTTTTTTTGAAATTTAATCGTAAAATTATTAATTTCTTATATATTTACAAATTTAATAAATATTTTCTAATTTTAATTTTTGATAATTATAAATTTTTCTACAAATTTATTTAATATATTTAATTAATATAAATAGATAAAAATCTATCTAAGATTATAATTTTAAATATATACATGCATATTCTTAAATATAATTTAAAATAAACAAAAATATTTTTCTATTATTTTATGTTTAATTAAACAAAATTTTGTATTAAAATAGTGATAAGAAAAAGAAAATTTATAACATTAATAAAATTTTAATTTTAAACATAATTTGGAAAACTTTATAAAATATGGTAACAACTCATATATTAGATTTGATGTCGATTTATATTTTTGGAAATATTTTTAAAATATAGTAATAACTCATAAATCATCATTAAAATAAATATATTCAAATATGGCATTATAAATTTCGAAAATATCATTTAATTATATATTTTAAAATTATACAATTTTTTTAAACACTTTTCAAAAATGTATACCTTTTTTGAAAATTATTAAAATTTAATCGTAAAATTATTAATTTCTTATATATTTAAAAATTTAATAAATACCGTCTAATTTTAATTTTTGATAATTATAAATTTTTCAACAAATTTATTTAATATATTTAATTAAAATAAATAGATAAGAAAATCTATCGAAGATTATAATTTTAAATATATACATGCATATTCTTAAATATAATTTAAAATAAACAAAAATATTTTCTATTTTTTATGTTTAATTAAACAAAATTTTTCATTAAAATAGTGATAAGTAAAAGAAAATTTATAATATTAAAACTTTTCATTAAAGCCATCGAAGTATTAATTTCACTAAATGTGGTCTCTAGGCCGCGGTAAGAAGATCGTTCAAAGACATGAGACTCTCAATGTGATTGGGAAAACAATGAGATCTGATGAACTTGATTTCTCCAATCCCCTCGTACTCAACTTTTCTTACTCTATTTCTCTCCAAATCATAGAATATCGCATAGAATGGCCTCTCCGCAAGGTCTGGTAAGTAAATCAACTCATCATCAACGGTCTCACCACTTACACGTAACAAAAAGATTCCTTCCCCTGTTGACAGAGAAGTAAGCGTTTTAAATGGCAGAGAGGAGTCTTTTCGCACCCATTCATGTTTCTCAGCATCCTCCAAAATCCATAATGAGATTCGTCCCCGAAGACTGCTGATATAAGAAAACAAAGCTAATCTTCCCCTATGTCTTATAAAACCACACGGAAGTATTTTTATACCCCAAGGCAGCCCTTTCATACGAAGAGACATATCTGGTATTTGGATTACTCCAAACTTCTCGGACCTCACGTCAAAACTCACAATAGTGTTATCAGCCGCTAAATAGTACACAACTCCGTTGATGCATCTCCAAATTGCCTTGTAGAACTTAACATGGCTAGGGCTAATGTCTTGGATAATTAACCTTCTCCATGATTCTCCAGGTCCCAGTGTAAAAATCTGAGGGTCTTCATCCTTAACCCAAAGTGACATGCACAACACTTTGTATTCATCACCGATGGGATCGTATCCCAAAAGGGATATAAATGGCTTCGAGACTTTAAGCTGGGGTAAGGTTACGTGTTGTTTCAAGGTTGGATTCCAAATTATGACACTCTCAGAATTTTCAACGGGGATCAAACCGTGGATAGACTGATGATGAATATTATTCTCATTAGTTATAATCCTTAGAGGTAGACCAGTTTCCTCTTTAGGGAGGTATTTTTCAGTATCATGATGATGCGGCAAGGAGTAGAAGACACACTTTTCCTCTCCATTCTTGCAGTAAAGAAGACAAGGCCGAGCCGAGGAGTGGACAGAGTAAGACTTGACGAAGCTGGGAGTGGTGGTCATAGTCGACCAGAGCTTCGACACGCATCGGAACCTCCCTATGGATTTCGCCGGAAGTCGTAAAAGTATTTCTATCGTAAGGTCAAGAGGTAACGATACAAAAGATTCGGTTTCCATGGGTTCTTTTCGATTCCCCTCTGTAATGCCTTTTGTGTTTATATTTTTCTCCCTTCTTGACTCCTATCTATTTATAATAAGATCTAGGGTTTATGCATTCATCTCAAAATCTCCCTATATATTAAATGAAAAGTCACTTTAGTGAATTTTGCTTAGGTGTCATTCATATGTGCAATTTAGAATTAATTCTCTTAATTTGATTGATTGTTGTTATTTGAATTTTTATTTATTTAATTAAAGTTTTAAAAATGAAACTAATCCTATAATTACATAATCTAATATATATTACCAAAAAAACAATTCACCACCTTAACTACAAACGGATTGATACAATTTGTTTATAGAAACAATTAAATATCATAGATTTTATTATAAAAATAGAATATACATATAAATACATATTATATCATATAAATAAGTACATAAATTAATTTATTTTTTTAGATAAAAAAATCATACGTTATAGAAAACTAATTACTTTAAACCTACTTAATAATATCTTTTATACTCACTCACTATATATATATATATTCTTAAAATATGTTCAATGAATACAAAATAGTTAAATGTACAATTTAAAAAAATTCTAATTATTTTTCAGAGATAAATGTTGATAGTATAGTTGAGTTATCACTTTCAAAAATGATTTATGTATTTTTATATCTAAAACAGCAAATTATATGGTAAGTCTTTTTAAAAAATATTAATAAATGAAAAAAAAATATTCTAATATAAAATTGAAAAAATCAGAACATTTATTAATATAAGACTCGAGTTAATACTCTATTCATATAATTCATATAGCTTTGAGTATAATAAAATTTGCTCTTTTTTTAATAAGAAATAAAAAAGAGACATAAATAAAAAAACATGAGTGAATAATGATAGAAGTAGAACCTGTTGTTGTATTTCTTTGTTATATATATTTTCTTTAAATAAAACATACGGAAGTAGAACCTTTTGTTGTATTAAATTAAAATTTATTATATATTTTTTCTTTAAATAAAACATACGGAATTACTTCATGTGATTAAGATATCTAATACTTTTTATGAATTATGTATTCATTATTTCTCATTTCAGAGATCGAAATAGAATACGCACATATAATATATGATTTAAGATTTTTCAAAACTCTCATGTTGGTTTTATACCGAAAAACTTAAAACATTATTTAGATCTAATTTTTATTACATAAGTATAGATCTACTTTAGTTCTTTAAAACATAAATCTATTATACTTTCTGGATTAGCTAGATGTTTATAACGATTAGTTCTGATACCCCATGTAAACTTAATTTTACATGAACTCTTAGATCTTTGACATCTAGACTAATCACATAATAGAACTATAAGAAGGTCTTTTCGTAATACCTCATTTTATCATTGCGGAAATCTTCTTTGATGGTTTGATCATGGGAATGAGTTCTTGATCTTTAAGTTGGAAGTTAGATCTTTTCTCCCCTTGCCTACAACCTTTTTTATGTGTTGCTTTTAGTTTTTCTCTTTAATGTGTCTCATTGTGATGGCCCAAGAGCACTTATATATAGGTGGAGAAAGGGACCAAGCTTCCTCCTCAAGTTTTAATAGCTTTCTCACCAAGTCTTTGATAACTTCATTGACAAGTTTTTTCTTTAATCTTTACCGTCCATCAAGATTAAATAAATGACAAATGTTTTGTTTAAGGTGACTCATTTCATTAGGAAAAGACAAATGTGAAGTGTTCTAGAACATTAAGTTTATACATTGAATTTGTTCTCTTAAGCATCTTTCATTAGACTTGTCATTCAAGTCACTTTCTTCTAGAACATTGGTCACTGATAGTTTAGTTAAAACATTAGGAAATAGACTCCTTTATTTACCATCTTTATAGGTTACCAAGTATCATTAAAATTTAATAATCTCAATATAAATAAGTTTACCTTGGTCTTAGATGTTTTGATTATGGTGTTTCGACCATACAAACATTTCAAAGGAAAACCACGAATTTCCATCGTATTCACATACGAATCCTCCTTCTCCAAAGTCATTCTTCACAATCGAAAAGAGTAATCTGTAATTCGAAATAGATTCGTAGGCCAGAGATTTTTAGAAACCCCTAAATCGATTTGGAAGTTTATATAGAAATACAAGAATATTTTGTGGAAATTTTTTTTAGAAAACAAACAAAATTAAAGTTTTAGAAGTTGAATAAATAAATAAAATCTTATTTTTATATATTACTAATAATTTGTTATTAGATAAGGTTCTATTAATAATTTTGTGTCATGTATAACTTTTTAATTATTAATTTATTTTTAATATTTTGAATGCATTACTATATGGATAAACTTTAAATTGATTTGTAAGAAAATTCCTAGTAACAAGAATTTGTTTTATTGAGTTTTTCTTGTCTAACAATTTTTTTTTTAAATGTATAATGGTTTTAAATAGGATTATACTTCTTTCAAATTCACAACATAAAGTTATAAGAACTTATAAAATACTACATACTTTTTAATTTGTCGTTAATCGTTACTAGTATCTGTACAAATTTAGCAAAAAGGGTTTATGTATCATCATCGAATTTGATAGCAAAAATCCAAATACTCGAAGCTATCTATTATCACCATTTTCACGAGCCCAACAATAATGGGCTTTTTAAAACCCATTAACTGGAAACTAACTATTAAGTCTATCTTTTAATATAAGCCCATTAACGTCGAAACGTCACTGTAACTTCCAGGCTGAGAAAAAGAGATGAGCGCGACGGCAACGGAGCTGCCGACGAAGGAGGCGAACTTGCTCAAAGGCCACGAAGGTGCGGTTTTAGCGGCGAGGTTTAACGGCGACGGAAACTACGCTTTAACGTGCGGTAAAGATCGAACGATCCGCCTCTGGAATCCTCACCGTGGGATCTTAATCAAGACGTACAAATCTCATGGCCGCGAAGTCCGCGACGTTCATGTTACTTCGTATGAACTTCAAATCTGTGATTTCGATTACGCTGTTAAGTCTGTTTTGGATTCTGATTGTTGTTGCTTAGGTTAATTTGAAGTAGATTGATTTTAATGTATTGATTCAATTCAAGCTATAGTAGTTTAGATTAGTGGATCCTGGTTATGTGTATTGGTTGCTTGCAGCTAAAACTGATTGAATAGGATGAGGAAAATTTAAGTTTAGGAGTTTAAGTTTCGTTAATACTCCCTCCGTTTCAAATTACTTGTAGTTGTTGTTGTAGAGTATAATTTTCGTTTTAAAATAAGTGTCGTTTTATAATTTCAGTGCAGTTTTTATATGTAATTATATTTTTCGATTGGTTGAAGAGTGGTTAGGTGTATAGATAATCGTGTTTTTATTTTGAAAAGATGTAAAATTAAATGTGTTTTTTTAATCTGTGTGCAAAAATCGAAAACGATAACTAAAGTGAAACTGAGGGAATATCAAGCAAGATTTGATTATCTGGTGGAAGCTAATATGATGAGTGTGTGTGTGTTTTATTTATAATTCAATGAATTTACTGTTGCTTTGCAGCTAAATATGATCTGAAAGCTCAGATCTTAATGAGTTTATGTTTCAGTATTGTACACTAAAATTGGAGTTAATGGAAGATAATATGATTCGTGTGTTTGTTTATATATGTTTCAACGGTTTGATTTATTGACAGAGATAATGCAAAGTTTTGTTCATGAGGTGGTGACAAGTGTATTGATTCAATTCTAGCTATAATAGTCCGGGTTAATTGATCCTGGTTATGAGTTTTGGTTGCTTGCATCTAAAACTGATTGAATAGGATAAGAAAATTTGAATTTAGGAGTTGTGTTTTCGTTAATAACAAGCAAGATTTGATCATCTGGTGGAAGTTTATATGATGAGTGTGTGTTTTTATTTATAATTTAATGAACTATTGTTGGTTTGCAGCTAAATTTGATTAATATATGGTCTAAATGAGTTTATGTTTCACTATTGTACAGAAAAAAATTGGAGTTAATGGAAGATAATATGATTAGTGTGTTTGTTTTTTTATGTTTCATTGATTTGTTTTATTGACAGAGACAATGCTAAGTTATGTTCTTGTGGTTGTGATCGACAAGTGTATTGATTGCTTGCTTGCAGCTAAAACTGTTTGAATAGGATAAGAAAATTCGAATTTAGGAGTTTAGGTTTTGTTAATAACAAGCAAGATTTGATTACCTGGTGGAAGTTTATATGATGAGTGTGTGTTTTTATTTATAATTTAATGAATTTATTGTTGCTTTGCTGCTAAATTTGATTAAAATATGATCTGAATGAGTTTTGTTTCAATATTGTACAGAAAAAATTGGAGTTAATGGAAGATAATATGATTAGTGTGTTTGTTTATTTAGGTTTCAGTGATTTGTTATATTGACAGAGACAATGCAAAGTTTTGTTCATGTGGTGGTGATCGACAAGTGTATTGATTCAATTCTAGCTATAATAGTCCAGATTACTTGATCCTGGTTATGTATGTTTGGTTGCTTGCAGCTAAAACTGTTTGAATAGGATAAGAAAATTCGAATTTAGGAGTTTAAAAGTTTCGTTAATATCAAGCTAGAATGATTATCTGGCGGAAGCTGATATGATGAGTGTATTTTTAATCCTTATTTCAATGATTTTTGTTGCTTTGTAACTGAAATATGAAACGAAATCTCAGATCGTCATGAGTTTATGTTTCACTATTACATTAAAATTGGAGTTAATAGAACCTCATATGATGAGTGTGTTTGTTTCACTCATGTTATTTTCTCTCTCTTTAATACAGAGACAATGCAAAGTTTTGTTCATGTGGTGGTGATCGACAAGTGTATTACTGGGATGTTTCAACCGGACGCGTCATCCGTAAGTTACGTGGTCACGACGGCGAGGTACATGTCGAAATCTAAGATTCAGCTTATGTAAATTTTATATTCTAACTTTATGTTTTGTGGACAAATGATCTTGTCAGGTCAATGCAGTGAAGTTTAATGATTCATCAGCTGTGGTTGTATCAGCTGGTTTCG